AAGTCTTGTGGCTCTTCCATTAGTATTACTATTTTAATGCTTAAATGATTCAAATCGTGTGTTCCTCGGCAGTCTTCAAAGCCTGTCAAAAAAAGGTGTTCATAGCTTTATGTACTTTTTGGGGGGCTTATCATTTAGGCTATCAGAGAACATTAATTGTTACATATTCCACCCACAAGCTTTCTAAACTCCTGTTGCCATCTCCCAACTAAAAGACGAAATTCATATATGGAAAGATTTCATAAACAAGGGATTTAGCTTTAAGCTTCAAGATACAGACTTTTTTATGCACATGGCACATTTCTACATCATTTACTTGTACCATACTGACTACAGAAGCTAATGTATCAATCAGACATGTGCACCATGATTTTAAAGACACATTAAATGATCAAGTCTGGTCTACTAGGTCAGTAAACAGCGTGATTCAATCTAACCTGTTTTAATTATGAACATTTATATAACAAACAAAAAAAAAATCAGGACAAGACTGTACACCTAAATGTATTTACATGCAGTACTGTTTATTGCCAAATTCACAAAGCAAGTTTATTATTTCAATTGCACCTTTCAAAAACAGAAGTTTGATGAAAATTTATAAAATAATTTTTATTTTGGAAGCTAAGTAACCCAGTAGCATTTAGCATAGAGATCTTATATACTATACCAAAGAGTTGCTATCCCCCAGGGTTTTAAAACGTTGAAAAGGAAATTTTGCAGATTACTTTCACAACCTGATTAATTTTTGCAATTTTCTGGGCAAAAGATAAAGGCATGTGTCCTCCACGGCTTCCCCCTCTGCCTGACCAATGTTCACAAGCAGCGTGACCGATGTGTTCGATTAGCTCTTCTTTCACCCTCTCATTTCAGAGCCAGTTTATTAAAAACAAACCCTAACCTCTTCAGACAAGCTCATCTCAACTGCACCAAAAGCGAGTAGGTGCCTGCTCTCCCATCCCAGCAGAGCTGGCTCTTCCATACGCACACATGTGCATTATTGTACACAGAACAGAACCTAAGTGGATTACAGAAATTAGAAGAAATGCTGAAAAACACTTAGTGGTTTGGAAGAAATTAAATATAGCGACTTTCTATGCTGAGGTACAACCTATTCCTGCCTCCACGGCCATGAAAGTTTCGCTGTAAATCTCAGCGGAAATGCGAAAGGCCGTTTACCCGGCTCTGCTTTTTCTATGCCTTTCTGTTCTCCCATCCTGTCTGGAGCATTCAGGCACCTTCACATCATGAAATTGTCCCCATGCAAAGTGACTAAACAAGTTAACAGAAACACCTTTCCAGTGTCCTGAAAACAACGGCTATTTCCTGCTCCTGGCCCCTGCAAGACCTACTTAAACTCCTAGCACGTGCAGCCAGCCTGTGGTGGAGCACCACGTGCCGAGCACGGGGATGCTTTGCAGCCTGGAATAATTTCATATTAACCATGAAAACACAAAGGATTTCTCCTCCCTTATTTGAGGACAAATAAAGGTCTTACATGCCAGGGTGTATCGTATACGCCAGGGTAAAATGTCATTGAGGGCTTGAGTATTTTCCAAAGTTGCCTCCCCTAATCTAAGCTACTTACCTTTATTGCCTTAACTGTAAATTAACTGAATTTACAATGCCTCTTCAATAACTCAGGTTCTTTGGAAATGACCTTATTCACACCACACACAAGAAAGTATACAATACAAAGTACTACTGTCACCATTCCAGTTTTTCCTCCATCAGTTTTAATTGGTTTTATTTTAAATATAAAAGCTTCTTTCCTCTTTACTTTTTGTAGGAATAACAGAGAAAAATCAAGACCTAAGAGAAACTGTGGCATTCAAAGGTTATGAATAGCAGTGTAGAATATAATGGCCAACAGCAAGAATATTTGAAATTGATACAACGGGTCCTGTCCTGTCCCTCATCCTTCATTTTTATTATTTGACACTGGTTCATTGTGTAATTTCTTAGAAAAATCCCAAACTAAACTCTTCAGTATGGAAAAAGATTTTACATCACAGTTTGATCCATACAGCAGTAACTTCCCATTCCATGCTTTGTTTAAAAGCTGTGAGTAGTTCTTTAATTTTGTTTTTGAGAAGGATCTAAGTAATTAGAAGACAGAAAGATTCCCAGAGTCACACCAGAATGTGTTAGTTACACTTCTGAACAAAACTCTCTTCTCAAATGACTAGGGCATCTTGTAGCACCTGGAAGCAAATGAATGAACCGAAGCAGAACCGCTTGCCTAGATGGCAAGTGAAAACTTGACCTCCGGTGGCTTCACACTTCCTTCTAGAGAATACTCCATACCTCAGCTTGGGCAGAAGACATCTCACAAAGACCTAGTGCTTGTAGCTGTTGTTACACAGAAGTGGGCAGAACAAGAAGCAGCACGCATTTCTGGGTGAAAGGGATGTACTTAACCGGTACACCTGACTAGCTAGGAATGACAGGGTCTCTCTCCAGCAAAGGCCTCCTACACCACAAACAGTTTAAGCTGCTGCTGAGGGAAGAGCTCCTGCCCCTCCTTACCCCCAGCAACCCACTCTTGCTCGCTTGACACCCCTTCCTTTGTGGTCACCAAAGCACTTGTGTGGCTCAACAGCAGTCTGGATCTGGGATCTGACCTTCTTCTAAGGAAAAAGAAAGAGAAAAAAAAAAAAAAAGACACACCCAAGCACAACCTTTCTGCTAAGCTGCTTTAAGTGGGATCAGCTCTGGTCTCACGCAGCCCCGTGCTGGGGGGAGCCAGCAGGATGGGGAACAGGCAGAGCACACAAGCGGGGCAGCAGGATGCCCCTTTTCAGTGACAGCCATAGTAAATGAAACCATAATTTTACCATCTTATTTATGTTTCACTTTGGCAAAACAGAGGACATAAAGTCACAGTGATATGCATACAGCTCCACAGCCTTTCAACCTGTATCACCCACCCAATCACCAAGTTCTCCTGTAGAGCAGCCACAAAACTTCTCATGGCTGGGCACGGAAAGCACTTGGACCACGAGCAAGGACAGAGCCTCTCCCTGCCATTACCTCTGTGAGCGCAGAGCCAGGGAGGGGAGCTGCCTGCCTTGCCCTCCTGCAGGAAGAGGCCGAGCGAAGCTGCTGACAGCTTCAGCGCCGAAGCCCCGAGGAGGAGGATCCAGGGAGCAGCTGCTCCGGCCGCACTCGTTTCCCTAACAGCACCCTTCAACATGGCTAATCCCCCCCGCTGCCCATCAGCCGGCTCCAGCCCTCGGGAGGGCGTAGGCCCCAGGGCACCTCCGGGTGCTGTAAGCCGTCTCCTCACCCAGGAGGAGAGGTACACACCAATATACCACCCAGAGCTTGGGTTTCCAAAATACAAACCCAGCACCTTGCACCTGCTCAGCTTGAGCCACCTCAGTGTATTATCTTCCTTAGCAAGCAGCTCGCCATGAACAAAGCTGATTTTTAAAAGCTGAAGATAAACACCACTGATTTTTTTTTTGTGGCATTTCAAATCTCAAAATTAGATTTTTAACTTATATAAAACTCAAGGCGGATGTGCTTCAGATAAGCTTATCACACAGTTTCTATTATGGAACATTTTAAAACCATAAGTGACCACAACAGAAGATATCAAAGCAGATCTTCGATATCTTCAGTTCCATAGAGTCTCCAAATTGCTGCACTTGTACCCATGACAGGGGCTGCCAATGCAACCGCCAGGCAGGAGAACAGCCAACACCGTCGGTCCTGCGCCCCGTCCCACGCAAAGCCACTGCTTCCCAAAGGTGACTGATGCTTGCTAACCTCAGAAGAGAAGAAATCAGTGATTAACGGCTTTGGGGGCAGGTGGGGTTTGGTCACTTTTTCCATCTATATATCAGTTTATATTTTTGTTTGTGTGAGGGAGGTCTGAAAAGTAGATTCTGGCAGTGAGAATACTTCTGTGGGCCACTGGGCTTGTAAATGACAAAACCTGTACAATATGTTAACTGAGTGTGCAACGAGCCATCAAATGAGTTGCAGCAATGAAAGAAACATTCAGAAAAATGAGTCAAGTGTTATGCTTCTGAAAACCAGCAAAATACCATACCTTTTTCCCTTTATGGGGTGGTTTTCATTATTTATCTGATGAAAATTGTTTTGTAATATCTGAATTAAACAACATTTTTTATTTAATCTAGACTTGTTTTGAATAGTCATCCTGGTTTAATTCCAACTTGCAAGAACACCAACAATGTAAAATATCAAGGATAGGTGTTTTGCATGTCATTTTATTTTGCTTGCTCAATTTGTGGAGACACATTATCTAAACTTCAAAACAGAAAGCATCAAAGCAGAGGAATGGACTGCAGAATCACACAGATCAGTTGCCTGCCTTCTGCTCTGCACAAGATCGCTATGCCAATAAGTCCCTATTAAAAGCCCTGGCAAGCTATGTACAGTTTCTTCACTAAATCCTGTTTTAAAAATCCTAAAACGCTAAGTCCAGCTTGGTCAGACTCTCTTGAACTAGACCATATGGATAAAATTTCTGAAAGCCACCTGCTATTACCATCAGGCTAGACTGCTATTTACTTTCATTCTATTCTTTTCAAGCCCGTCTGCCTTGGCTTTGAATATAAAATTTCGGCTGAGGAACAGTTCTTCTCTCAAACTGCAAATAATTCAAGTCAAGGATACTGTGATAAAACCAACAAGCAGTAATTATGTTGATTAGAAAAAACCCTGTTTGAATATGGTTTTATATTACTTTAAAATAGCCACTATTTCCCTAAGAACAAAGCTTTAGTTAGGGTAATGAAATTACATCTATTAAACAGAAAGTTAAAATAAAATGTTTTGTATGCATAATAATGTAATCTATGCAGTTATTTCCACTCCTTGTTTACTCAAGGGCCAGCACCTTACCATGAATAGCAATGAATATATGAATTAAGCAGCAGAAGAAGAGTTTAAGCTTCCCGTATTTTCCAGTGGAGCATTTCATGGTAATCTGTCCCACGCTGCTACACTACGCACACACGGGATCGGAGAGTGCAACCAAAGCGATCTAAACCATCACCCGACCGGAGCAGGGTTTTTCCTTGCAATATGCTTTTACTCCGTGCCACTCAC